GTTTCATTTAGAATCACGTTAAAGTGAGAAGAATAAAGATTTGTTTCGCATTGACCGATGTTTCCTGTCTTCATTCTGCCGTTTTAATTTAATCCACAAAATGTTGACTCTCACGGTCTTCTACTCTTTGTCTCTTGGAGTCAGTTGTTATGAAAGTGTCTTGCTCAATGGCACTCCAGCAGTAGTTGATGATGTAAAGGGGAGTGTCAGTTTTCCCAAATCGTCCCCTCTACATGAACCAACAGCCTTACAGTGGCCTCTTCCCTAACCTCTGCACGCCACTAAAACCTCACAGTAATATGGGCCTTTTAGAGTCCAGGTGGGACCGTAGCCTCATGGCTTTCAGCCATAACAGTTTCGGTCTGTCAGTCCTCTGCGTTATCCACTGTATGATGTGAGGATAGTTGCTCTCCGAGTTCAATAAAGAAGCTGAAATAAAAATAGTTGAAGCAACCCCTGAGTCACAATTGAAGAAAAAAATACAGATCATCCTCCGGTGAAAAGTTGGTGTGTGTGTGTGTGTGTGTGTGCGTGCTTTCTGCTCCTCCTGTGAACCTGACAGAGGTGACGTCACTGAATCTGGAAGTGATTCGGCCAGACTATGATGCTATTGGCCACGATTCAGAAGAGAGTGTGTGTGTGTGTGTGTGTGTGTGTGTGTGTGTGTGTGTGTGTGCGGGTGTGCTCTACCGACGCAAAGTCAACATGGCCGAAGTGTACATGCAACGCTCTGGAGCAGTCTCATGATGATGAGGTAATTTCCCCAGAGTTTAACCCTCAGGAACATAACAGACATGCGTCCATTTCCATCGCTCCATTTTTTTTCTCTGCACCCTTTCATCCTTTTTCATCCCATGTGATTCTTTCACTTTTCCCCTTTCTACGTGTGCCAGCTGCTTACCTTGAGTTGTCCTTCATCACGTAGGCTACATGTGTGACCCACCTTTCTACTCTCCATCAGTCATACCTTTTGTTCTCTTCTTCACTCCCGTGATTCAATAATTCTTTCATGCCATCGTCTTCTTCTTCTTATTATTTTTTGGCTTTTCACCACCTCTTCAATAAAACAGACGGACAGAATAGCAACATTAGGTCACAAGTTTAGAGGAAAAAAAGCAGACGTTCTTCTTGAATACAGTCATAAAAAAACCCGTATATTCCATGTTACATCATTTATTATTTTAGCCTCAATAAACGACTCCAACAACTCGAACAAAAGAGTCTTCAAGTCCAAAGTGTTTGTAAAACGAATTGAAAGAGAGAAACTTCTTTGCTTCATTGCTGTTGAACAAGTTGTTAATCAGTTAAAACTATTTTTAGGGCATTTATTGTTTACCAAGGACTCAGCTTACACATGATTTACCTGGCGAGCAAGAGGTCACCAAATACACACACACAGGCACACACACACACACACACCCGCACACACATCTGGTGTAGACTTTAGCTGTTGTCACCAACTATTTAAGCTAAGCAAACCTTCTGACAAAGCTACGGTTAGCTTACGGACACATGATCCCATTGGACTGAACATGCTAATAAGCTAATATGAAACATGGTTGATACATTTGAACCACCGCTTGATACAATGTAGCGTAGCCTAATGATAATGTAACCTGAAATTGTTTTAAATTACCTTTCACCAAAATAACACAACACACATTACAAAAAGCTATGCCAGCAACATTTAGCTAATAACAACAGCTAGGTTAGCATAAACAGATACTTCCCACTCATTGGGTAACCGCAACACACATATTTCTACAGACAGTTATATTTAATAAATCTCTAAACTGTCGTTTTTGGAAGATATGCTACAGCTTGTGACACAGTAATGACTTTGAATGAAAGTCTAACCATGTTAGTTTAAGCATGACTTGCACAATATGCTGCAGCTACTGCACTACACACTTAAAGCTACATAGCAACTCCTACAAGTAGCAAAGGCCAAGGAATGCTAGTTGCTTGTTAACGTGAGCTAAATTACAGCAGGTTGATCCAACGTGGGTCTTTGCTAACTTACACACACACACACACACACACACACACACACACACACACACACACACACACACACTCTCTCTCTCCAACTAAGCAAAACTACAAAAATACATTAAAAAGTAATTTATTTTCAACTATAGTAGATAATGATATATTGCCAAACCGTGTGCCATTATCACTCAGGTGCTAAAAAGAGGAATGTCACGCTCCTGCTTTTGGAAGACACACCTGGCTGTTCTTCTTTTTCTTTGCCGGCATTACCATTTCAAAATAAAAGCACCCACCTATACAGTGTGAAAGGATCAAAGTAGCACATCCTTAATAAACACTTTGAAAATGAACAAACTCGAATGCAACATATTATACAAATATACTGGACCTTGCCAAAGGTCATTTACAGGTATTAGAGTCTTTAGTAGCTGAGGCTTTTAACGCACACCACCTAATGTTACCTAAAAACTGGCTAATAGCATAAACTGTACAAGGCTGGTAGCCATGAATAATCTGCTTTACAGGCACAAAGTTATGAACAAAATCCTCATTCATTGTGAGTACTTCAACATGAAATTGTTACACCTCCCTGAGGTGAGCCAAGCTGAGAGGATGAAGACAGGCAGACAGGCGGTGCTACGGGAGAGTGAAGGTATAGCTTTAGAAGCTGATACTCACAGGAAAGACTCATTTGTCACCCCTGTCTCGAAACCATATGTGACTGCCAAAAGTGTGTGAGTGTGTGTGTGTGGCGGGGTCAAGGATCACGAGAGTGTGATGCACGCTGATTTTTTTGGGGATGGGGGATCTGAATCAGGGTCTTTGAAGGAGCATCACTGCTCTCCACATGTAGGCTATACCCATGAGATCTGCTCATTCTGTTTCCCTCTTACATTTTCTCCATCTCGCTCTCTTTGACCACTAAATGTTCTCCCACTCAAGGCACATGGTGATTATGGTGGGTCCACATGAAGACATGTCAGTGACGTTATGAAGCATTGAGCAGTGTCTAGCTTTTTGGTTCACAACTCTGTGGCCAGCTGTTACCATAGCAGTTTTTGGGGCCTATATGAGTGTGTGTGTGTGTGTGTGTGTGTGTGTCTGTACTGTAAGTATGACTTGGGAGCAGTGAAAGGGACACAATCATTTGTCACTTGCGGCTTCACATGTCTGGTATTGAAATTGATGACAAATCTATGAGGTGCCGTGTGTGTGTGTGTGTTCATATTTGTTGGCTCATATGCGGGTGATGTCATGCACAAGAGCTTCTTTTTCTCACACTTTATGAAGCCAGCTATACCACTGCAGACTTTCACAGTTTGCTGACATTGCAGGCGTGTGTGTGTGTGTTTGTGTCTACATGTGCATTGTGTGTGTATTTATCATTGTTTTCTTTGGCTGCATGCTGCAGACCACAGGGAAAACACTGGCATTCAAACTCCATCATCCACGCCTGCCATCCAATCATTACGACGCCCGCTGCCTTCTGCGTGCACAAAAAACACGGGGGTCCATATACGGTTTTTTTTTTTGCGTATAGCAACTCTACCCATAGCGGGCTCGTTAGGCAGTTTTGAGACGTAAACTGGATGGACGGCGAGTTTAATCTGCCGCTAATCAGCTCCTCGGAAAACTCACTCAAGCATCAGACACTGCAGATTGCTCTGCCTCCCTCACTGTGTTTTTCCCAGTCATCACTTCGCCCCCTCCTTGTTAGAATCACTCCATTTCACCCCCACCTGCCTCCACGCCCCCCCATCATCCATAGTTTCCCTTTGCGGTCTCCTCCTCTGCTGTGTGATGCTGAGAAGCCCTCAGGATTAAACCTAAGTCTTTTGTTTATCATCTCAGCTATTACTGCTAATGCTGTCTCTCTCTCTCTCTCTCTCTCTCTCTCTCTCTCTCTCTCGCTCTCTCTCTCTCTCTCTCTCTCTCTCTCTCTGCGTGTGTGTGTGCGCGCGTGCGTCCACGCATGCATGTGGGCAAGCTCTCAGATCAAACACAGCGTAAGACGAGCCCATAAACAAGCCTTCAGGACCACTTAGGTTTTTTTCAGGGAGAGTCCGTTATGGGTGCACGGAGGGGGAGGGGGAGGGGGGAGTTAGGTACAAAAATCAGCTGCTCTGTTTATGTACCTTTCAGTGGTGATTACCGGTCCAATCCGTCTGTTTAACAGAGGAAATATCATAGCCTCGCTGCAGAGCGCGCGTGTTTTGTGAGACCGCGGTATAGATGCAGATGCAGCGCGTGAGGGGGCTGCTGGAGAGATGCCACAGAGTTGCGTGGAATTAGAGCGCTGGTGCGGCAGCAAGTGTTTATTTACTCATACATACAACCTTAAATGAGTCAGGGAGAGTGAAAGCAGAGGAAGCAGAAGGACCACCGCACACCAGAGCACTGAAGGATGTGTGTATCAGACGCACAGCACGCGGCCTTGGCGCTGGCCTGTGTTTCCACACGACGCATGTGAATGGCGTTGCACTGTGCGCGCGTGTCCGCGGGAGTGGGCAGACACACTGGCAGGTAGTGCCCGGCCCGTAGGAGGACAGGGATATATTTACAGAGTCAGTTTACAGAGTGGAATATTCACGGAGGTGAATGGGCTACTTCATACACTCAGGATATTATTTTTCATTACATTACAGCGCGGAATTGAGTCATTTTTGTGTGTGTGTCATGTGCTGTACATAATGTGGCAGGTAAAGGGAGACAAGCTTAACTGGAAGTGTAAATAGTTCAAGTCTTGTGGTGTTAGGTTCAGTCTAATGAATGGAGGCTGATTGTTCCTGATGGGGGAGCATTTTCCGTTACACTGAATTATGGGCGGGTTCCACTCGTGGCCACTAGATGGCGCTAAAGCCACACATCATAACCACATAATCATAGAGAGTATTTTGAGGCAATAAATAAGGCAATAAATGTTATAGTGGTCACCGGCAAAAATAAAATGATTTCCAGGCGTCGGCTGTTTATTTATATCACGTAGCTTGAAGTTTAAAAGTCGTTTTCCCAGTTTCCGTTTCGGATGTCATCTTAATCCCCTCCAGCCACCGGAAGCTCTCGATAAAGCCGAGGTTGCAAAGTGCGTCACAGAGCAGAAAAAACCCAAAACAACGAGCCTGCAGTCCAGCAAGCGACCGTCTTCTCTTCTTCTCTTTTTGCACAAGAAACCCCGAGCGGACGTTTCCGCTACCAGCATGGTGAAGATCGCTTTTAACTCGGCTCTGGCGCAGAAGGTGCTGGGCAAAGAGGAGCCGGCCGATGTGAAGGTGAGCTGTAGTCTGAGCCCGGTGTCCGTTTAATTCATTTTTTATTTTAGCCCGTTAGCATGGCCTCCACTGACCGCAGGCATGTCTGCAGCAGTGACCGCGCACGTCATCTGTGTGTGGTGTATTGGGTCGTTATGTTTTCACTTGCATTTTCGCACACTCTATATTAAGAGCTTTGCGGTTTTTTTTTTTTTTGGTTTTTTTTCGCAAACTGCACGGAGCCATATTGCACCTGATGCAGCACACAGCGGGACCGCCCATCCTCTGAACGTCGTCTTCATCAGCTGTTCTGCAGAGGCCGAGCATTCAATGGGGGTTATAGATTGAGCCAAAGATGTGCGTGCTGAATGTTGATACTAAATGCATGGAATAGTATTTGCAGATTTGCTGACAGTATTGCGTACCTGTGTGTTTAGGACCCTGAGCTGGGCTCTGCTCCAGCGGGCAACGAGGGCTCCACAGGTCGCTGTCTGCTCACCCTGCTGGGCATCGCCTTCATCCTCAGCGGGCTCATCGTCGGGGGGGCATGTCTCTATCGATATTTCACCCCAAAGGTAAATCAATATGTGTGCGTGCTGGCAGGTGTAGGATACACACAATCTGAAAACATCCCTCCAGGTTTAGATTTGCTATATTACTGTAACATTACAACATGCTTGGAAATGTTTAATCTGCATTTCAGTCAGAAGGCACCAAGATGTGACAGTCATGGGACATATGTACCCATTTATTGTCTTCCAAGTAATTGCAGCAGGTCAGGAAGTGTTATTTGAGTTTGTGAAGTTATTAAAGATGCTTTAGATTGCTGTGGGAAACTATAATGCTGACTCCTGTTCACTTCTGTCTTCAAAGAAAGTGCAGACTTACACTTTGCTGTGTTGTCAGTGGGAGGGTCTCATTCAGTATAGTCTCTCTCTCTGTGCCCACAGGGGTTTATTATGCAAATGAAGCAAAGTTAAAAATGGCTTATTAAACTATGAATGCAATGCATGCACTTCTTAATGATAGGAGATTCATCCCACTTACAGATTGTGATATTAAAGACTTTCTTCTTACCTTAATGGATTGTTTTCAGGGCTCATTCCTTAATCTTCTTGTTGTTCAAGTTTCCTAACCGCAACAATTTTTATATTTTTCTTAAACATCATATCGGATAGAACTTGTCCCTTGAATTTGATACAGATTATTATTTTACTGAGGATAAACACATCCGTCCACGACCTTGTGCTACTTCTAGTCTCTCTCAGCTCATGGTTTTGGTTTGGTCTCTACAGATCTAAGTTGGGTTGTTTGACTTGAATATCTAGCAAGCTTGTCTTTTTATATCATAAAACAATCAGACACTTAACATACCAGCAAAGAGATACACAGTAATGAAAAACAAAAAACTACAGATTTCCTTTTTTTTTTTTTTTTTTTTTTTTTTTGGAAGTACATAATTCAATGGAATAATGAGGGTATCTTCTGCCCCCTGGTGGTCGAAAATCATTTAATGAGGCTTTAAGCCGAGTTATTTTCAGACCTAATCCTGCCACTTTACATCTCGTGAGCAAACTGTCCTGCTGCATTGCGTTGTCTCTGTAGGGCTAATGAAGTTTGTTGGCACAACAGACGGGTAGGTAAACCACTGCAGGGAAACAACTGGCTCCACGGAGCTGCCGCATTGGACCATGAGGCACTTGTGGTTGCAGAGGCAAAGACCCACCTCACCACATGTTGAACATAATAACAAATCCCCTGGTGGCAAAATGGCATGTGTGGGTTTTCTTCCTTTGTATGAGTAATGTTGATTTTCCGAAGGTTGAAATACAATTATAGTTAAAGTGAAGAAAGTTTGAACCTTCAAAAAGAAGTCCATTCAATTAGAAATCACAAAATAATAACAAATGTGTAAACTATGAAGTCATGATATTTAATGTATTTATTTGTCTGATTGCATGTGTGTCTCCCCCCCCCCAGAGGCTGTATCACGGTGCGATGCAGTTCAGCGACGTGTCAGCTGGAGCTGGAGGGGGGAGCCAGCCGTACTACCTGCCGCAGGTGGAGGAGGAGGTGGAGATCTCTGACAGCATGGCCGTGATCAGCGTCCCACCTCCCCGCTTCAGACCTGGGGACCCCGCTTACATCCTCCATGACTTCAACAGGGTAACTCACTTACAGCACAGCACTTACAGCACTGCAGATGCTGGTTTGCTCCTGCTAATGTGGTTTGAATTATTTCCTGCGTGCGTGAGTAGAAGCTGACAGCATATCTGGACCTGACTCTGAGGACCTGCTTTGTGATTCCTCTGAACACATCGGTGGTGCTCCTCCCTCAGGACCTCATCGACCTCTTCTCGCAGCTGATGGTGAGTAGTGATCCTCTCGGGATGCAGTGGCCGGTAGAAGAGACCGGGCTTGGATGATGGAGGGAAAAACTATACGCTGGCACAGCACTCTCACTCAAGCTGACGCATAAGCCCGAATATTTTAGGCTACATATTACCTGTGGAAATCCAGGGCTTTATAATAATTCCAGAGATTGTCTGTGCTTTAATCCCGTCCAAATCTGTCATGTCGGTAATTTGTAAAGTCAAAAATTTCCCTAACTCAGACATTCACTGCATGAGTAACCTCCAGGGGAATTCAGTACTCGCATATCTTGATCTCTTTTACTGTAGTTAAATATGTGATATGAAAAATAGTAGAACTCTAAATGAGTCTATTGAGTGCTGCAGGGATGTTGTATTGTTGTCGGCCAACCCCAGAAGTTAGCGCCACAAAAGTTCCCTTGACAAAATAACAATCTTTTTTTTTTTTTTTTGGGGATTTTGAAGTATTGCAGAAAATAAGCTCCTTTGGAAACACAAGTTTCTGAAACGTACACGTTTTTGTTCAAAGAGATAATCTTCACAAATGAATACCACTTTTATTATTTTTGAAGAATGAATGAAATCAGCAGAAGTAAAAAGTCAGCGTATAAACAAACTACACCAAGGTTTTATTTACTTTACTTTTAAATTCATTAAGCTTGTGTTAACCACAGGCTTTATTTTAGGCATCTAACCAAAAAACCATTGACTTGAGACCAGGGAACCGAAAGTGCAAAAATGCTAACACATTTTTGCGGTTTTTTTTTTACACATTCCTGCAGCAGTCTACAGTGGAAGACTTTGCATGCGTTTTCTTTGCTGAATCATAAAGTTAAAAAGTCTTCAGACGCACCCTGAGGCTACTTTGGCACTGCAGCGCTTGAGCTAAATGCTATCGTCAGCATGCTAACATGCTGGTAATGACAATGCTAACCTGCTGATGTTTGACAGGTTCACCATCTCAGTTTAGCCTGTTAGCATGTTGTAGTTACCACAAAAACACAAAGTACAACTGAGCTGATGGGAATGTGATTTTCCAAATTGTTAGTCAATAACCAAAGGGAATTTGTTTGCAAATTAAAATGTCGACCCGATGATGGCGCTAGATGAAAACATAAGGGATCAGTGATTGCAATCCACGGAGCCATGGTGCTATTATTATCATAGAAATCAATTGCTTTTGACTGGTAGAATATTCAACAGTTCAACTATAGTATTGAAAAAAGTTTAGTGAGAGTGGAACACGGTCAGCAACACCATGTTTGAGATCAGTCAGACTGCACGTAGGCAACAGCTTTCACTGAGTCCTCCACCATGACATGTTATGCAACATTTGGTGGTGGGTGGGTGATGGTGGTGCAATCACCAAATTTTACTATCCCATGTGGAAGTGTTTCATAGACTGCAGAAGTTTGACGATGATTAATTAATTGGACAAAGTCCTTCCCACTCTGTTAGTGTTCCACTTGGCTGCAGTCCTGCTCACTGAGCTGCTTCTCTCCTCAGGAAGACCAGAAGTGGTTCGTATCGTGATTCCTTCTTCTTTTTTATTTTTATTTTTTTGTTATCCCAGTCCGGCTCTTACCGCAGCTACTTGGTGCACGAGGACCTGGTGGTGACGGAGCGTATCGACGACATCGAGCCTCTGGGCTTCTTCATTCGCCGACTGTGTGACGGGAAGGAAACGTACAGGATGCAGCGCCGCTCCAGCCTCCCAGGTCAGCTAAAACTGACATTTTGTCCCGTTTGTTGAGCTTCATTCACACATTGTAAAAGCACCAGCCTGTGAAGAATGCTGCTATAGAGGGGGGGCTGTAAATATACATGTCTGTACTATTTTGACCAATACCAGCCAAAGCCAACAGAATAAGACTGCGTGTACTGATTTCTTAGGGACATCTGTTGGAAACAAGACTGATATTGATATTCAGCGCTGATGTCTTTGTGTCTGCCAGGTGGAGGCATCCAGAAGCGCTCTGCGGACGATTGCTTCACCATCCGCCACTTTGAGAACAAGTTCGTGACGGAGACCAGGATCTGCAAGGCTTGATGGGGAAAGCGAGAGCATCGGTCAGGGAGCGAGTGAGAGTGAGAGAGAGAGTGTTAGCGAGAGCCAGAGAGAGAGCGACACACACAGAGAGAGAGAGAGTAGGAGGGAGTAGTGGGCGAAGGAGGAAACAGCTTTCAGCAGAAAGTGACTTGTATAAAACCCTTAACTCCCTCGCTTTAAACCCCAGTGATAAGTGAATTTAAGTTCCAGTGTTATATAGCCTACCCCCCCCCTCCCACCTGAACCTGTATAAGTCATAGCTCTCTCGCTCAAGTATTCACTAGTTAGTCTTGTACTAATAACCAGCGTCAGCCTGCTAACTAACTATATACTAAGTTTCATTTTGTTTTTTTCGTTGGTTGCCCGTAGCTTCCTGTTGAATTATCTTATCGTCGTTACTGTATTACATCATCCACCACTCGCGTCCAGACGACGAGTCCTTCTCCTGAAACTGAGAAGTCGTTCATATCAGACCTGTCCCGTGTGTCCAGCCTACTGTTCCCACTCTTAACGGGGGTTTTCTAGATCAGCAAGACATACTTTAATGTTATAGTGGGATATAGCACAAGCCACCCAGGAAATGTAAGGTACGGTACAGTTACGGTGCACGTGCAACGCGGTTGTCCATGTCCATTGTGGACGGTACCAGAAATGCTCGAGCCCCCGAGCTCTCAGTCAGCCTTTTTATTTGTAGATATTTCCCAGAGTGCCTCACTGCTCCCAGAGGCCTCTGCTGTCCTGCTATGTGATGATTTGTTTTAATGTAATAGATGGTGAGTCCAGCACCCTTATATGACTTGTGTTTGTGTAGAAACCTCATTTGTGACAATAAACTGGGAAGGACACTAAAAGGGAAGTTTCACCAAAATTTGAAATCACTTTTTTAAAATATTCTTATTTATGAATCTGAGCTGCTGCTTACTATAGGTGGCTACAAGTTTTTGCAGAATATATTTATAATTGTCACGGGAACAATACGTTTGTAAAGAATCCTTGAATCTGCATTGAAAAGCCCTTAAGGAAAAGCTTGAAAGTGTGAAATGAAAATGGCCTTTGGCCAAAAAAGGTCAAGTGGTTTCCCACTCGATGCCTGCACAGAAAGACAATCAGACAGGAAGTGTGTGTGTGTGTGTGTGTGTAAAAATGTGTCTCTGTCTAACAAGTACTAGACAATTGGATAAAAAACAATGTTGTGTGCAGCTACTTAAACAAATTCACTTTGTCGCTGAATAAAGTTACATTTCTTTACCTACTGAAAGTTGTCTGTTTGTTTATTATTACGGCGGCAGTGAACGCAGCACCAACACGTCCCAGCTCATGAACTTGGATCTAGAGGGAAAGTGTGGCTGGTTTGGGGGGTCTGCCTGTATTCTGTGTTTCCTGATGCTTAGAAATGTTGGCACTGATCACAAGGACATCCTTCATAACAGGAACAGCTCACTCTTCACCGGGGGTCATACAAATTTAGAAAGAACAGACAAACCTTTTTATTGAAATATAAATAGAAAAAATGTTTTAGGTGGCATGCAAATTATAGGTCCCTAGTTTTAAGGAGCATGAGGTCTTTGTGTCAGAGTTTAGTGGTTGAGACCAACTGCTGGCCCTTCAACAAAAGAGCAGGACGACTGCAGTCTAGTCCTCGGTGTCCTCTCCCCCGGTCATACAGGACAGGCGCCTGCTGAACGCCATGCTCTCTGGTATCTCTGGCTTGCTCAGTCTCCTCCAGAATTCATCGGTTGTGAAATAGTACATGAGTGGGTCCAGGCTGCAGTTGAGGCTGGCCAGGCAGAGGGTGACGGGGTGACTTCGGAGGATCAGGTCCCTGAGGGTGCAGCTGCTCAGAGCGTTGGCTTTGACCAGGAAGTCCAGGGGCATGGTGACGTGGTAAGGAGCAAAGCACACCAGGAAGACCAAAGCACAGCTCAGCACCATTCTCAACGCCCTCCGCTTCTCCCCTCGGTCGGGAATGGCGCCCGCCGTCGACTCCCGGAGGCTCCCGGCAGTCAGACAGGTGCAGGCCAACACCAGGATGAGGGGGATGATGAAGCCCAGCAGCTCCGCCAGGATCAGGAGGGCCCAGGCCCCTGGGACGCTGACGGGCCTCATGGGCAGCTCTGAGAAGCACACCGAGGTGATGAGACTCGAGTTAGGGTTGGGGACACTGCCGGGGTTCCTCAGCAGAGGGAAGGGCAGGCAGCACAGGCAGACTAACAGCCAGCCGAGGGCACACACTAACAAGTCTCCCTTCCGCCTGGATGAGTTGTACCTGAGCGGGCGCTTGATGAGCTCACAGCGGCGCACGCTGACGCACACCAGGAAGTAGATGGAGGCATACATGTTGACATACTTCAGATAGAAGCACATCATGCAGAGAGGGTGGCCAAAGGGCCAGGTGTTGTTCAGGTAATAGTAGATCCGCAGAGGCAGGGAGAGCACCTGAGGAGAGCGGAGAGTTAGTCTAGATGGTTTTAGACGGTCTCGGATGAGCACATGATTTTAGCGTAGACTGAGCTCTGGAATGCATTTTTTACAAGGCTTCTTCAAAGTGAGGAATTGATGCTTTTCTTTCTTTTATATCATTGTGCATTAAATAACCCTTGTGGTTTGAACTGTACAAAACAAGCAACTTCGCGTTATAACAATTTACATTTTTCCATCATTTAATAGGTGAAACAATATAAGCAGTCAGAAAAACATACTTTATTGGTGTTGTATGCATTTTAAAATGTCTATTTAGTGTATTTTTCAGCACTTAATATAATCCTTATCCTAACTGGCGTAAACACATCCACAACTTAACACAGTTGTATTAAATGTATCTTAAATTAATTATAACCCTCTATTTATTTTATTCATTTAAAGAAGTTCTTATGATAATTGTATATATCGAATTTATTCATTGTTGGAATGCTGTTAAGCATTCCAACTATTGTTTTTCGAATCTTTATTGTTGGAATGCTGTTAAGCATTCCAACAATTTTTAAGCTACAGAAACCGTTCAACTATCAAAATGTTCAGCTCTTTCAGCTCATGTCTGCTATGACTTTTCATATTTCTAGCCTTTAAACTTTTTGAATTATTAAGCTTTTTGCAACTTTTTTTTGAATAGGATGTCTATGGAGAACATTTTCAAATCCTCTTAAACTTTTTCAACTTTCAAATCCTTCTACTTCTACATACTTTCAGTTACAGACACCATTTTAACTTTAAAATGTTGAGAAAATCCTGATCTATTGCCGCATAATTCAGCTTTTTGATATCTTTTACACTTTTTGAACTACAGCAATTTAACTTTTATGATTTTTTCAGTCCTTTTCTGACTTTATAATGGGTGTGTATTGCGCAGCTTAGAGTGCGTGATGTCACCGCTAAAGTGAAGAGCAGCTTGAGATTCTTGTGAAAAAAACATTTGTCTTTTGCCACTGTGTCCACAATCTTCACTCTTCATGCATCATTTTTGATGGAGAAGTAGCTAATATTGTCCTTGTCGTAGACAAATGACTGTGGAATCCCACAGACTTACACATTTGGCTCAAGGAGCCGCAGAGCGACATGAACTCCAACAAACTGCTCCATTATACTCCTTGTTAAATCTGACCACTCATTTCTCAAAGAAAGCAGACGGTACCAGTTTTGTATATTGCTCTGGAGCTCACATTTTT